GTAGGGTGAACTAGGATGACAACTCGCTAAACGAGTCTTTGGAGGCGCTCGGCAGTCTCGTAAACCAACTCAAAGCTCTTCCCTTCAGCGACGTGGGGAATATTTAGCACAAAGCCGAGTCGTCCTGAGTGGAGAGGGTCGCTTGAGTCAAGAAAACGTTCAAATGTTCTTCGGGGTCAGATGACCCATCGTACTTCTCGATCGACATGCTTTTCCAGTGGTCTAGCAGGGTTGCCTCCATTATTCTTCGGGAAAAAGGATGCCTTAGAGAGTGAGTGGTGGTGTCGGCCTTGTTAGCTATCAAAGAGGTGACCGGGGTCCGTGTCACATGGTCGGTTGGGGCATGATATGCCGACTCCTCTTGGAGGGTAGGAGTTGACGACACGTATGTCTGGTTAAGGCTTCGAAGCTCGGCGTTCTGTCGACGTAGTTTGGCTAACTCCCTGGCGTCGGCCTCTCTCTGCCTTCGGATAGCAGCCATTTCCTCGCGCAATGCACGCAAGTCATCTTGGAGGTCAGGTTGGTCTCGGTTAGTGTTCGGCCGGACCTCTTGTATCACAGGCTCCGGTTCGGTTTGAGGCATTCCGTACGGGTAACGTTCTTGATTGGTCATAATGGGATTGCTTTCGGGGTTTGGGATTGGTTGAGTCGTCATCGATTGTCCTTTGCGAGTTACTACCATGCCTTGGTCTCAGTCGTAGAGTTCTAAGGGGCTGAAAATGTCTCTTCGGCCCCACGGTGGGTGCCAAATGTTCCTGTGTTAGGATACACACTTCAAATATCCTTGTTGTGTCGGGGCTGATCCTAGGTCTCGGTCTTCTCGTTCCTATCCGAGTAGTCCGATGTGAGGGGGGGTGTGCCTGCAAAGACACTCCAACGCTCAAGTGCTCGGCGTAATAAATACGGTAGGTCAAAGTTAGTTACATACCTCGAAGGGGGTCTATTTATAGTGTTTCTTATTGGGCCGTGATTAGGAGCTGGGCCCCGGAAAATTAGGGGGTTAATCCGGCTTATTCCTTAAGTTAATCCCTTCGTAATCATACTGGTGGAGCCCCGGGGATCGGCCGAGTAAACCGACCCCTTCTGTTTGGCGAGTGTTCGGTGTGTTCGGGTATTGATTTCGGTCTCTGTTGGGTTCTGGTATTCGGTCGGGTCGGTCGGGTCGGCCTCGGTCCCATACGGTATAAAAATATTTAATAAATTCTAAATAATAACCTTTTGCTACTAAAACATCAAATAAGGACTCATTTTGCATATTAGTAACAATACCATAGACCGTAAAGCTAGCAAATTCAATAACAGAGTAGCCACACCAACTCTTAATTAGCTTAATGAACAGACCAACAAACTCTCACAAGCTTCTTTTTACAACTAGTATATTAGACTCTAAACATAAACATGACATAGACAATGTGTATTTACAAAAGAAGAAGAAGAATGATAATGTTGCATTCTCAACCAATCTACATAATTATTCCTTGCTATATTATTTCAGGGAGGATTGGTTTCATGTATGGAGAATGAAGACAAATTAGAGGAATAGGGATATGTACAAATTAGACACATTAAGCCTATAGTGCATTCATTTCATCTATTTTCTACTTTTGTGCTTGTTCAAAAGGCACAAGGATCCTTTCTAACAAATTTTCATTGTCACTATTATAAGACTAAAATAGGTTCACGATTCTAACAAATTTTCATAATACACTTAATAAAAAATTTTAGTTAATGAAAAATATAATAGAATTTGGTAACCTGTCATGAGGAGATTAGATAGGTTCATCATAGATTTAAAAATAAATAGGTTAATGATCATGAACAACCAATTTCAAATCCAAAAAACCAGAATGTAAAAAAAATAGATAATGAATATTTTGTATTCATTTACCTCAAATTCACTAACACTTGTAATCTCTAAAAAATCTGCTCCACCTAAAACCTTTGAAGAGCAGAGCAACAAAAAATCATAATGAAATATTATACAAAGCAAAAATAGGAAATCAAAATGGATATGAATCAAAAACTCACCTTAAATGAAAGAAATCGATCAAAGAAGAGCATAGATAAAAGAAGCTTAAAGAAGCTCTTGCAAAATCACTAACCACCAATTAGACACTCACACTCACAAACGATTATAGTGGAGAATTTTGATAGAAAAGAAAAAAAATTTAGCAAAGAAGAAGCAATTTGAGCAAAGAAGAAGGTTAAGTGCAAATTTTGAGTGAAGAAGAAGAAGTTGGAGTGAAAAAGGTTGAGCGTGCCCTATACTTCATCACTATACTTCATATTTGGGTGGTGAAGTTGAGAGACTCATCACTATACTTCATCTCAATGAACTTTTACCAATTAAAATGTCGAGCTAAAGACATAAAATAAGGGTTTATTGGGAAGCAACCCTACTATTTAGTTTGCATGCTTGTTTATTTTTATAATTTAGTATTGCTTCCTTTATTTTAAGCTTGAAAGTTTGTTTGTTTATTTAGTGATTTAGTTTTGCTTCCTTTGAGTTTGTCTTATGTTTTTATAGTAAAAGAAGGTGAGCTAGTAGGGAATCAAGCTGAGGACTTAGAAAATTTTCAAGCAAATGTAGAAAGACCAAATTGACCATTAATTGGACATGTTAACATAATTTTTTCATGTCAAAGGATCAAATTGAACCTTATGAAATATGAAGGATCACATTGAATGCATTTAAAAACGTAAAAGATCAAATATAACATATTTATAAAGATAAAAGATGAAAATAGAACTACGGAATAGAAAATTCCATAATATGATATTATAATTGAAAACAACCTTCATTTAAAATGTATTATAACACAATCAAATAACTTTAAACAAATTTTGAATCAATTATGAGAAAAAGAAATAAGTGCATTTACATAATAACTTCGTGAAGTTAAAGTTTTACATGATAATAACTATATTACAAATATGAAGTTAAAGTCACTCTCAAAACTCTCAAATCAGTCCTCACAAAAATAATTGCACATCCAAAAGGGTAGTTAAAATTAATCCATACAAAAGATGGACAAAGACTTTATATTCTAATAACTAATTAAAGTTAGTCTACAAAAAATAAGATTGGCAGCTTCACTGACGGGATAATTTGATTCCCCTCCTTAGAGTGTTTGGTTGAAGGGAAATGGAAGGGATGGGGAAGGGAGAGATTTTTATAAATTTTTCTTATTTTGTTCAATTATTAGAAGAAGGGGAAAGGGGGAATAAAAAAGTTTTAAACAATTTTTAGTATAATATATGAATAATCCTTACTTGTGTATTTAAATTCAAAATTATAAGGTACAAAATAAATTGGTTTTTAAAATTGTTTTTAGAATAGTGAATTTGAACCTAACTCAACCCTATAAAACTGGCTTGTAAGGTGAGAGTTGCTTTCCACTTATATATTATATAATTGCCTAATCTCTAGTTGATGTGTGACTTGAGTTTTTTCTAATACACTCCCTCACGTCTAACACTATTAGGCTTGGTACATGAATAAATGGTAGGTAACCCTTTTTAATGACCTAGGATTGGTGGGACTTGAGTTTTTTTCTCAATACACCACCCTCACGCCTTTGGTGCATGTATCAATGGTGGGTGACCCATTTAGAATGAATCTAAATAGCTTTGATACCATCTTAGAATAGTGGATTTGAACCTAACTCAACCTTACAAAATTGACTCGTAAAATGAAGGTTACTTTTTATTTATATACTATATAATTGCCTAATCTCTAGTGAATGTGAGACTTGAATTTTTTTCCAATAATTCTTCTCTTCCATTACGAATCAATCAAGAAAAAAACCACCTCCCTTCTTCTTCTCTCCATCAAAATCTCTCATTTCTTTTAAATTAAACAAAATTTCTAATCATCTTTATTCCTTATTTTCCCTCCTTACCTTTGAATCAAACAATCCCCTGCTGTAATTGATTGAATTTGGCTTAATATCAAAGTTTGAGTTGATACACCTTGTTGTATTTAGATTCAAATTAGTCTTTTATTTTTAACTAAGTTCAATTTAGTCTTTCATATCCTCAATAAGGTTTAATTTAACCATTTGTCATATTAAAAGGCATGGTAATATCAAATTTTGCTAGCATTAACTAAAAAGACTATTTTTAGTTATTTTATAATATACAGTAGAACATTTTAAAAAATAAGAGTAAACTAAAATTTAGAAAATAAACTACTTAAAAAAAATATAATTTAAACCAAATGAATCAATGTTTAAAAACCTTGATAGAACCGGCCGGTCAGACCGGTTGGATCGAGAACCGGTGGTCCAGCTAGTCTGAATCTTAAGTTGGATCAGTTATGCAGTCGACCCATTTCAAACCGGATTGAACCGGTCAATTTTCCGGTTTAACTGGTGAACCGGTGGGTCAAACCGGTTCAACCACTTTTTTATTATTATTTTTTTAAAAACCACAAAAATAATAATGAAAATTGAATCTCTTAATGGAAGAACAAAGATTCTTATTAAATATAACGATGACTACTTGTTCTAATGTATTTGTTTATAATATATACAACTTAAATAACTTTTATAATATATTATTAATTTTAAATTATATATTTAATAATATAATATCTATGTAAATATTATATATATTATTTTGTGATATCAATTGTAAGTATATTATATATATACATATTATTTATATTTTTAATTTGTATTAATATACTGTTTAACATGTAATTTTTTATATATTTTTTTACAAAATAAAAATAAAAATAATTTTAAATAAAATAGAAAAATTGAAATTTAAAATAAGATATGAATTTATTAAAATTTATAAGTATAAAATATATTTAATATGAATATTTTTTAATAAAAGTAAATAAAAATCGTGTCATGCGGTTCAATTAATAATCTACTGGTTCAATCTTTGACTCACTGATTAGTACCTTAACCAGTTCGATGACCGGTCCGATTTTTAAAATTATAAATGAATTGTTTTTCACAAACAAAGGAATCTTTTAAGGTTTTCGAAAGAATATTTTTGGTCCGAACATGAAATCTATTTTCAAAAAACCTGGTTATCTCCTGTGAACAACCAGACCCATAGACCATAGTTTGGATTTTTGTCTCAGCGGGTTTTTGTTTTCCCCTGTTATCTCTCTGTCACGCTTTGAAAAGACGTGTTTTTGTATCTTCATTAACATTTACATTTTGGTTCCTGCAATAATGGATTTGATGTTCCCTCTGAAACCCCCCAGTGTTATTCTCAAGGCACCACCCTCTTCATCTCTCTTGTTCCCTCTTCCTCTCAGGTTTCGCACCGTTTCTGCTTTCAAGCATGCCAATATTCAATGCGAGCTTGACTCCAGACACAACGGTGCTCTCTCTGGTGACTTCGACTCTCGCTTCCTTGATAGGGTATACCTTTGGTTTTTTTTTTTTTTTGGTTTTTGGGTTTTGTTCTTACTTCATTGACAAAGGCTTCATTTTTTCTTCTTCTTTTGAGGTGTATTGTTGCATTTGTACTCTTGTTGCTACTGTTATGTCTTTTCTAATGTGATAAGTAGTTTCCCTTTGGAGAATGATAACTTTTTTATGACTATTTTTTTGTGTGATTTTTATTGGCTGTTCATAGTTGCCCTGAAAAAGTGGTTTTTATTTATTTATTTTACTCTTTTGAGTTGCATTGCTGAACTTCCAGTGCTTGCTTCCGTGGCTGTTGGATGTATGTGTTTGATGTTATGCTGGCACTGTGTGTGTGTTGCTTCAATTTAGGATTTTGAGGCATTGAACTAACAAAAGTCTAGGTTTTGAAGGACATTGCATAAGATATTGCCTAAGGGCGTTGTTGAGTTTGATGGGGGTGTTGATTGATTTGTGTATAGTTCTGAAAATTGCTGACGTGGCACAGATGTGTAGGTGGGTACTGGGGTAAGGGTGACAAATCAATTTATTTATCTATCATCCATCCACAAATAAATTCATCCAATCCATCTATTATGATAAAAATAAATAATGGATCGGATTCTATTCATCTATTTAATTTTATGTATGGTTAGTAATTCATCTACTACTTTTTCAAAATCTAATAGATTACAATATGATGTTTATTGGATTGAAATTTTAAAAGACTATTTTGACATAAAAAAAAAGTCTTGTAAATTTTAAAAGATTATATAAGAATATAATGACTTATAAAGAAAAAAAGAGAAATAAAATATTTTAAAAATAAAAATTATTTAATCTTTAAAACATTACATTTATGGATAGATTGGATATCCATCTATGAAAAAATTGTTATTAGATGAATTGGATGAATTGAATTTTTATGTGAATTTATAATGCATCTAAATGGATTAATGAATTTGATTTATTTGATCCATTATCATCCTCTTAAAAAATTATTCAATCCATCCTTTTGCCACTCCTTGATTGGGGACAACAATCGTGAAAAGTGTCGAGACAAACTGACAAAGTTTTGTTTGCATTGTGACTTTGTCTATTGAGCTAACTGAACTCCTTTTAGGAATTTGGTGGTGGAGTTAGCATTGTCGGCTTAAGAAGGCATGGTTAAAATAATGCTTGACTAGTGGAAGTCATGTCCTGCGAGTGCAAATTAGTTCGTGGTTGTCAGCTATGAAACACTATGTGAGGTTAGGAATGCATGACCGTATAGACTTAAGAGACCTAATAGATATGTTCACAACTGTATAACAGTATCTTTTATGACTCTCTTTGCACACCTAAGCCACTTGATAGCCATGACAACTCTAGGTAGCCAACCAATCATCATTAACCAATGTCATATCATCATGTTCTGTTAGTGAGGTTTATGAAATAATGATAGAAGGAAATTCAATTATGAATGTGTGTGCTTATCATGCTTATCAAGAATTGTTGGTTAAGAAAAGAGATACGTTACTCTAAAAAGAATGATGTATGGATTATTCTATCTGTGACTGTATGATTTTTGTGTGATTTTTATTGTTTTTACGTGTATGTGATCATATATGCTATCTACCTTTGTTTGGAATTTGGATAGTCATAATGATATAGAAAATTTCACCATATCATCTTTTATCTTCTTTCCCTGAATCTCAATACTCATGGAAGTATAATGTTTTCTTTATTGTTCCATTAGACTCATTTAGCATGCCAGCTTTTAGGATATATGGTTCTGTATTTGTTATAAAATGGTTTTGGGTCACTGTTCTGATGCAAATATAATGGCTGCACTACCCGTAAAATTAGTAGCTTCTTCTTCTACTAGTGTTTCACCCGAGTTCTACATTGATGTGATATGTTTCTAATTTAAAGTCTATTCAGTCTGACAATGAAATTTTTTTCTAGCAAAAAGCACTAGAAGCAGCGATGAATGATATAAACAGTTCTTTTGGAAAGGGTAGTGTTACAAGACTGGGCAGTGCTGGTGGAGCTTTGGTGTATGCATCCTCCCATTATATGTCATCTGTCTCACAAATTTTTGAAAGACATCATTTTATATACCCTGTAACTATTTTCTGTGATTTACATCAGATGACATGATGGATTTTATATCGTCTTGAATGTTGCAGTGAAACTTTTCCTAGTGGTTGTTTGACGTTGGACTGTGCTTTAGGTGGTGGTCTTCCTAAAGGAAGAATTGTAGAGGTATTGCCTGCATACTTCATGTTGTCATTCTTTTCTTTTTGCCATTCTATAACCTATTTACATTTATGAATTGTGAAGAATGAGATATATATTTTTTGTAAGGATTAAGATTTCATTTAAATCTGGTTATGCAGTTTTGTAGCATGTAGGGTATCTTTAACAATTTTGGGTTATTTGAGGATTTTATTTAGGGTTGCTGAGTTATAGAGCTGTATTATCTATTTTGAGAGAAACAAGCACATTTCTAAAGGATCATAAATGGATTAATTGGTTGGCTTTGATCCGTTGGTTATAATCTGACTCAATTCATCTAAAATATCAAGTGCCATTCCTAGTTGTATGCCCTCTTCAGTCCACCAAAATTGGGTGCCGTATAGTTATGAACTTAGCATATACATCCAAAGACGTGAAAAGGGAGAAAACAGATATCCTGTTTTGGGGACAATATACAGGCTACTGTTTCTACTTTCCTCATCTCTATTGCTCTTTATGTCAGCTAATCTCAGATTCTTTGAGACCATACTTTCTTCTTTATTCTTGAGTGCATTGGCATTCATGATCATATGCTTCCTGTTAGTCATTCTTCCACTCAGATTGCTCCCACACTTTTGATAGGAAAGAAAGTCAACCACAACCAGAACCAAGGTCCTTACAAGTCTATTACAGAAAGAAAAAAGCCCATTGCCTGTAATTAGAATTTCTGTTAACAGGTTGTAAGAGGTAGTTAGCAGACAGTTGGAGAAAAGTTTATAAATAATACCTTTAGAATGTGATAGGGGTTTATGTGGAGTTTTATAGTATTGTTAAGGCTATTTTCCCTGTGTGAAAGGAGAGTGCTCCTTTGTACATTTCTAAAACATTATTTCATTTCATAATAAAGAAGTGGAACCATTCTTTTTACTTCTGTTCTCTCTCTCACTCTCACTCTTGCATATTATCATTACCATCAGTCTCTCTTCCTTTCTTTTTCAAAAGGATTCCTAACAACTTGTCTCCATTTCTCCCTTGCTCACTTATCAAAGGAGGCCATAACCAAAACCTGTCCAAAGTCCACCTTTAGACTCATGTCACTCATCTCCTACTCCATCAAAATTTCCTGCTCTGGCTCCTGAAATAGAACTACCTATTTTACTAGACAAAGGTATTAGGTCTTCTCAGAACTCTGATCCTCTTTATGCTTGACATTTGAATTATCATCAATTATCCCCTTCTGCCTTTGTGTCTTCTTTGTCTATACCTAAAATTACAGGTGAATCCCAGTCCATTTGGTGATAGATTATGGTGGGTGGATGAAATGTCTACTTTAGACTTGTTGTGGAGACTTTTACTTAAGTATAGGATTAAAACTGCTGCCAACATCATTTTCTCCCTCTTGGTCTGCCTGTTCCCAATTTTCGTATCTATTCCTTTCCATTTATATCTGTCTCCATCAATTTCTCTTGTGGTTTTTCTGGACATTTTTTTTCATGTCAGTATGTAGGTATGGTGGTGCTTGGGCTATATAGGAGTCTGTTCATAGTTTGTAAGCCATTTGATACAAACCACGAGAGCAAACTTATTTAAGCATTAAAAATGATGTAATTTTTCCATGCTTTATTTTGCACTATGTGATAGAATTGCTGGTTCTTCTATTTTTTCCCCCTTTAACTTATTTGTCTGTCAAGCTGACATTATCTACTATATCTATTTCCAGATATTTGGGCCAGAAAGCAGTGGGAAAACCACCCTAGCACTTCATGCTATTGCAGAAGTGCAGGTAATTCATCTATCTGGAGGTTTCCCAATCATTAATTTTTGATCATGAAGATTCACTTGATATAAACATGTTTTTGGGATCAATATGCTATTTTGTTATGATGTGCAGAAGTTAGGAGGCAATGCAATGCTTGTTGATGCGGAGCATGCTTTTGATCCTGCATACTCTAAAGCATTGGGAGTGGATGTAGAAAATTTAATTGTTTGCCAACCGGATCATGGAGAGATGGCTCTTGAGAGTAATATAGTTGCCTTTAATATGATTGTGTAGGAATGGTTAAGATAATCTTGGCACTAGCAGGGTGTTGTTTGGTGTCTATAAATTGATTCAACTTTCCATATTATAGTTGCAGATCGGATGTGCAGATCTGGTGCCATAGATCTCATTTGCGTGGATTCTGTCTCGGCTCTCACTCCACGAGCTGAAATTGAAGTAAATTACTTTTCTTGATTTTATGTTCTTTTGTTTTATAAATTAAGGATTTCATTTCTTCCTAACTATATTTTTTCATATAAATGGATAGGGGGAGATTGGAATGCAACAAATGGGATTGCAAGCTCGTCTTATGAGCCAAGCTTTGCGTAAGATGTCTGGAAATGCCTCTAAAGCTGGTTGTACTCTTATATTTTTGAATCAAATAAGATATAAGGTATTTTTGCTTGATTAGTTTAACTTTCCATTTGGAAGACTGCATACATTTAATTATGATTTATGATTATTGTAATTTCCACTGCTTACTCAACCATAGGAGTTTAATGTCATATATGATTTGTTAAATATCTAGCTTTTGTTAATATGGTGTATTTTTTTATATGTAGATTGGTGTCTATTATGGAAATCCGGAAGTGACTAGTGGTGGAATTGCATTGAAGTTCTTTGCATCACTTCGGCTAGAAGTTCGTCCTATAGGGAAGATAAAGTCTGTAAGCTCAATAACACTGTCATAACATAATCTTTTATATCATCTTAGACCTTGTTTCCTGTGGCCAGTCTACTCCAAAATATCAGTAATTTTTAATTTACATTGAAAGAATTATGTGTTATTGATATAATGTTTTGACTATAATTTCAAAATTGTTTGAATGAAGCACTACTCTACATTTTTGTTTTCCTTTTAGCCTAAAGGAGATGAAGAAATTGGCCTTAAAGTTCGTGCAAGAGTGCAAAAGAGCAAGGTAAAAACAATATTGTATATTTCAAAATTTTCCTTTTAAGAAAATTCTATTCATTTTTGTAACATAATCCGTTGAAACTTGACATTTATTAAACTGTCTGATTTTAAATGATTTGATATTTTTATATTTGTGAAAATAGAAAATGAAAACAGACAACATTCTGATTTTTCCCGATTTAAACAAACCCTATCATTTAGTCAATTCACCTGAAGTTTGGGTTCATTCATTCAACCAACACTATAGTGAGATGTTACAGTGCACCACAGTCAAGCTCAGAGAGCTCACAGCATAGAAAGAACAGTTTAAGTGGTGATTCTTAATTCAACAAGTATTTTGAAGAAAAACTATATAAATATTTAAGCTATTACAAATATTAACTTGTAGGAAACCTGAATTTTAAACTAATAGATTGTGTACTACTACTGCCAGGACAGCTTGATCATAGTTGAAGTTTCATTCTACCAAGCCCTTGCTGATGTATGTCCTGAAGAACACAATTCATAACTTTAGTGACTATAATTGTATGATTAGAGAGATATAAAATCATTCCCAGATCTCCACCTAATAAATTAAGCTTTTACGAGAGCTGTTCTTTCACATTAGTTGAATAATATGATTTAGTTGTTTGTTTGAGCTAACAGGGTCATATATCCATCCATCCATATATATATAGAGAGATATAGATATAGATATAGATAGATAGATAGATATCAAGTGAGAGGAGAATATTAGGAGCTATTTAATCTGTCTTTGGTTCCAACAATGAGTTCATCATTGAAGGTGTTCTAAATTATTCTTAAGATATAGATATTATGAGTTTTTTTTTTGGCATTATAACTAATATTATGTTGTAATTTTCATTGACGTTAAATATGTTCTAGAGGTCCTTAACTTAATAAGTTGTAGGTATCAAGGCCATACAAACTAGCCGAGTTTGAAATTATATTTGGAGAGGGAATCAGTAAGCTGGTGAGTCTTGTAGCATAAAAGCTTTTACAACTGTTAGTTTAGTAAGTTTATATAATTATTTTAACTCTTCCTTCTGAATGCAGGGATGTGTTTTAGATTGTGCAGAAATGATGGATATTGTCTCAAAGAAGGGCTCTTGGTACAGCTATGGAGACCATCGGTACTTTCTCTACTCTTTGAAGCTGAGTATTTGGTTATTTTATAATGTCTTTCATTATTCTGTTTCTGTATGTATATGTCCTCCAAATTAAGTACTTGACAATGCAATTATATATATATATATATATATATATAATGGGAAGTTGATCAGAAAGTAACTAGTTTGCGAAACAAAAATTGATTTTGTTTTTCTCCGTTGCCTTGCCTTTATTTTGCCCCTTTACTGTCTTCCCAATTTTTTGTCCAAATGGTCAGGGGGGTTGTTGTTATATGTGAGTTTGCATGGTTTAATGTTAACCATCCAATTTGTGTCGTGAAACAGGTTGGGACAGGGAAGGGACAAAGCTGTACTATACTTAAAGGAGAACACAAATCTTTTAGGAGAAATTGAAAAGGTTGGCGGATCTGAACCTATTCTATGCTAATATTGACCGTAAAATTAGATCTGATGCTGTATATTCTTGTCCCTTAAAGTGACGAAGTGCTTGCGTGCTTGCTGCATTCATTTGGCTTTATACAGTCTAGTAGAGTTGGATTATTTAATGATCTTGCCCAGAAAACTTAAATGCTATAATTTGGGTGACCAATTTCATTTTTGTTTTTAATATTTTAGTCTCCAATGCATCTGATCACCTAGTGATGGATTGGTTATAATCTATGAAGCCTAGATACTCCCAAAATATAAAAGTATCGGTATCGTACTTGTGTTGGATACCAATACTCCTCAAATCCTTCTGGATACGTATATGAAAATTATCCGATCATTTTTTTTATTTATTTTTTAACCTTTTTTTCTCAGATACTTCTTGAATACTTATTGGATACTTCTACTAGGTATCTGAAAAGTATCCTTAAGTGTTTGGTACAGTTATTATTATTATTTATTTATTTTCATGTTGTGTAAAGATTTGGAGTACATACTCCTTTATTCATTCTTTGAATAAAAAAAATGGATCCAAAAGGGTAAAACTTATAATCTTTGCAATTTTGATCTCCAACCCTAGCTATTAGCATCACCGGGTGCAATCATGTTAATATCTTAACGGGAATTTGGTCCATGGCTTATCTACAGCCAGGAAGAAGTGAAGCCTACAGCCTACTAGGATGGACAATTGTTGTTTCTCTTGTTTGGAGTCATCAAAGGTCTTAGTTAAGGCCAATAACTTTAGTCATTAATGGTGTGACTTGAGATTTGAGTTTTGGAGAAATATTGCTCAAGTGTAAACAACCACTCAACAGAGTGTGTGTATATATATATAAGCATGTATATATAACACTCCCCCTCAAGCTGGAGCACATAAGTTGTATGCTCCAAGCTTGGAACAAATGAACTGAATCCGAGGCCCTCTAAGATTTGACCAGAATGTCAGCAATTTTGATTGGAATACATGTTATGCACTACATAGGAACACCATATGTATTGACTTTGATAGACTATGTGGGTAGTATTTCTTAGGCAAAGAGTTTATGGTGCAACTTCCTAAATTCTTAATTCCTAACAATTCTTTTCAGTTTGGCCTTCTTAGTTATTGCCAATTAGTTTTCCTCATGTCACTCTTGAGGACAAGGCTGAAGTCAAAAGGGAGGAGGCAATGTTAGGACCAACGAGTTTAAAGGACAACTAGACATGAGGTGTTACAACTTATTACTCAGTCATCTAGACATGAGGTATTACACCTTATTACTCTGTCGTCAGCCTAAATTTGGCAAGTATATAGAAAAACAAGGATGGTTTGCGATCACATAGAGCTAGAAATAGGATGAGGATTTGTCATATGTAAGACTCCTTTTATGGAGATACGGGTGGGTATATGGGTCAAGGTCCGCGGACCGGCGTGTTAAGCCCGTGGCCCGTGTGGTACAGGCTTTTTTTTTTTTTTTTTTAAATCTGTTCAACTATATCAAATTTTAGGCTTGACTCGTGAAGTCTGTGGCCTTTGCAAGCTTAATTTGCAAAGCCTATAGGCTAGTTTGTTTAACAATAATATATTTATTTTATCTTTTTTAAGACACAGACTTTGATATTTAATTGGTATATTTGGACTTTTAAATTTTCAAGACATTAAGATCTTGATGTTTGAATGGTGTATTTGAATTTGAAATTTTTTAAGACATTAAAATTTTGATATTTTTGTTAGAATGCATAATCATTGATATGTTAAGACTATGGTCTTTTACATAAAATGTTTGATTTTATTATAAATGTATTTATATTTCTTTTTACATATATATATATATATGTATATATTCTTTTTCATGTTTCCATAACTTAAAAAAGGAAAGGAAAAAATCCTTCAATTTGATTTTTTTTCCCAAAGTTTTATATTTTCATTGAACTCTGGCCCGTATATCCACGGGCTTAGCAGGCCTGATATGGGCATGAAATTTTTGACGGTTTATTTAACGGATTGGAATTATCGGTCTGTTAAAAATGTGGACTTTGCGAGCCTGGCCTTAAATGAGCTAGATTGGTCCGTATACTCATTAAATAGTAATTTAAAATTAAATTAAAATAAAAGTCTCTGTGAAAATAAGAAGAGTAACAAAAAAGCTTTTCTTTTTACTGAACAAAAAAGTTTTCTATTCTCAGTGATTGCAATTGAATAGTCACACTCAAAGAAGGGATGAGAGAATATAAACTAATCGAGAGTGACAAAATTGAAAATCTCATTCTTAGTGTACTTTTATTTTTATAGAGTAGATCCTTCGAACCTAATACTTGTTTTTGTTTTGAGGTTTATTATGGGTTTTTTCACGTTGTGTTTTCCTTCAGCTTTGTGGCTGCTTTTTGAGGATACTGTATGTCTGTACCCTCTCCTGTTCTTTCCCTTCCTATCTAATAATAATATGTGTCTTTGTGGACTATTTGTTTCATATTATTTTGTACTTGGTTTAGATGAACTGATCATAAAGATGGGTTATCTTAGTAACTAGATTGCTGATAGTGTTAAATTTGTAAGCACTTGCATCAACACGCTTGTGATAGTGAACGAGTATCATGATTTTACGGTATAGGAGTACTAGCAATACTCACTTTCACACCTTCTTTCTAACATATTTGCCATCGTTGGTTAAACATTATTGGAAACTACAAAATTATGGGTAAAACTCAATAAATACGATGTGAAACCTATAAAGATTTGTGATTTCCAGGAAGTTTCAGTCAATAATAAATAGTGTATTAAAGAGCGTGTTGATTAAACATCATTGGAAATTATAAAATTGAGTAAGATTTGTTAAATAAGAAGTGAAACCTACAAAAAATTTGTGATTTCCAATAAATTTCAGTCAATAATAAATAATGTATTAAAAAAACGTGTGTTGCTAGCATTTATGCCGAAATTTTTTAGTTTCACAGGTCCTGTATTCAAGATAAGGGTGATGGTATTATAGAATAATGAAAAAGAGAATGAATTAATTTGCAGGTAGTTCGGTCTTCATTGGTTGATGGAACTAGCCAAACAAACCTTGCATACATGAAGAATAGTCCAGTGCTTCATCAAGATGACAACATACTTGAGGAAAGTCAATGACTAGTGACTTGTTTGGGTGACAGATTCCAACTTCCAGAAGCTGGGAAATTCTTTCTTCACAACAATTGGAAGTGGAGGTGGCTTTGATGGTTACACCAACCATTTATTGGCTCATCCATCCTGCTCCATTGGAAATTTTAAGGAAATTGGATGGCATGAGACAATACAAAAAAAGGGTAATAGTGAACTTCAAAAATGATTATGAAGGACTGGTTTTTCAACTCAAAATATTCAGTGAGTCCCAAATAATGTAATCTAGATTCGTTATTCGATTCTCATTTATTGGTATTATTGTTTTCCCTCTGCATGCATTGTTAGTTTTCTACTTCTTTTGGGTTGCTGAGCCATTGAATCACTTGGTAATAGTAAATAGTAGTAATAATTAGTGATTCTACTATGATGATCAAGCCCACATATAAACAGTAATTAGCACAATAATCTATAAAAGGAGCAAACCATTTTAATGTAACAATTTTTTAAAAAGGTTACAGTGGCTGATTATGATTCTTCCATGAATTCAATAAGAGCAAATTACTGAGGTGTCTTGCATTCCATTTATTGTAAATATTTTTTTAAGCAAGATATATACAAGAAAATTAAATATTATTGAATTCATTTTTTGAATTAACTATACATGTATGGTTTCTTTATTAATTTGAACAGCTAATCAATGTATATATTATCTTTGATGCCTTGTACATCTGAAAATATGCAGTAGTTTAGCTTTATCCGTTGGGAATAATTGTTAGATTGAGGATATTCCTCAGTGTATACAATTCCTACCTAGATGATAGGGGTGTGCAAAAAATCTAAATTGATCCGAATCGATCCATAACTGATCCGATCCATATTGAAAAATCCGATTCATTTTGAAAAAAAATCCGAACTGAACCACTTTATAAAATCGATTCAGTTATCCGATCCATTTTTACAAAGTGGATCGGTTCGGTTCAGTTTGGTTTTCTAAAAAAATCGATCCATATGAGTAAAAAAGTGGATAACTGCACCGAACCGATCCAATTTCAAAAAAATCGATCCATATTTTAAAAAAACCAAACCGATCCACTTTATAAAAAATGGATCGGTTAACTGATCCACTTTTATAAAATGGTTCGGTTTGGTTTGGATCGGTTTTTTGAAAAAACAGATCCATAAACACCCCTACTAGATGATATACATGTTGTCTATTCATTTGGAATGATATATCCAACTTTTACGCCTCAAAAAACAAATTTTATTTTTGGGCAAATATGCAAAGTGATTTATGATTTAGTATTTACTTTTCTATTTTTTGCATTTTTTTTCTTCGATGAAATATAATTCACTCCTATTAGATTGATTTTTACAGGGAAGGTGATACTTCTGATCACGATTTTATGTCCAAGATAGTACTAATACCATTAACTTAGGGAACTCATCTATGTGTGCAATGACTTTTAATCTCCACCCAGTTTGCAAATATTGATTTTAAGAGGTAGTACAGGTTATTTTTGTTATACAAAAGAATTATTTTATTTATTGTAATTTTTATGAATTAAATTTTAATATTTAAAATAAATTATCAATAAATAAAAATAATTTTGAATCATAATATAAATTATTTATCATAAACTTAAAATATATTCAAACATAATATTTATTATTATAGATTTTAGTTATATATAATAAACATTTAGCTTGTGGAATGTATATGCTAAAATATTAATTTGTTATTATTTTAGTATCTAAATATATCAATATTATCAATTTAGTTGTGCATTTTTTTTAATTTTAATTAATGTGAATATCAATTTTTATTTTTAAGATTTATTTAATATTTTCTTAGGTTTAAGAACTAGTTAACTTCTATATATTAAAATTGAACTTTTATCTTATGGGAAGCATTTTTAAATTTTTTAAAGAGTGTTTCTAGAGACTTTTAATTTCTTATATAATTTATTTCTTTTTATCATATTTATTTGTGAATTAAATTTAATATTCTGAAAATAAATTTAACAATAAAGCTTGAGGTTTTTTTAATTTCTTATCTAATTATTTTTTTTTATCATATTTATCTATAAATTAAATTTTAATAATTTAAAAATAAATTATTAATAATTAAAAATAATTTTATGTCATATATATATATAATTTATCATAATAAATATTTAGCTTGTACATGATAAATCTAAAATGCTAGTATATAGTGCCTTTTAAATTGAGGTAATATTAGTAAAATGGTTATTTATTTTAGACTGACTATTATTTTTCATCGTGAGTTCACAACCTCTGTCATCACAATGACAAAATTACTAATTATATTCAATTTAATTTCAACTAAAGAGACTAGTCTTGAAATTATACATATAAAAATACCTTAATTAAAGATACATAGATGTGTATTTTTAATTTTTTTTTATGAAATATGTAATATCTTAAATTTTCTATTAATATAATGGTTAATTATTATTTATTTTTATATTTATGGAGATTATTTTCTTATAATTATTTTAATTAATTAAATGAGTTTTATAGAATATTTTAGAGATTTTCAATAATTATGAGTATGTTAATTAAATAATAAATATTTATGAAAATTATTTTGTATAATATTTATTAGAGAACTATGTATTCTTATGATATTTCTATAATAAGTATTTGAAGAAAATTATGTGTTATAATTATAATTATTTATATATTTTATTTTAATTATAATTGTGTTGGAAGAAATAGATATATTTGATATATATATATATATATATATATATATATATATTTGTTAATTATTAATATTTTAAATTTTAGCAGCCTAGAATGAGTCGTTCTCAAATTGGAACGGGGCGTCCCAAACCACCAAAAAAGTCTAAAATCCTAGTTGGGAATGAGTCGTTCCAAAAATAGCCGTTATGAGTTAGAACTCAACTCCAGAACAAGCCGTTCTGGATTTGAAACGGCCGTTCTGGCCACTTCTGACGTCTATAAATAGCACACTTTAGCACTATTAAAAGCATTTTTTTTTGCTTCTGACTTCTTTTTCTTCTACGCTCTCTGAAGACCAAGGAGAACCAAGAGAAGGAGACCAGCAAGATCCTGCTCTAGTTTCATCTCCTGCTTATCGAGGTAAGGGGAGTAAGAAATCTCGCTTTGGGTGTGGGAATGTATGTTGGGTAATGGGATTGACCCCCAATCCTATGTTTGTTGTATGCTCATGTGTGAGGGGTTATTCCCAATTGTATCTGTTTCATCTATTTCTCTTCTTATATGTAATTAATTGTATGATTTGAGATCTCCATGGGTTCCTATGGGAAACCCTAAGGGAATGCATTGGTGGTTGTAAGAAGAGATTGTTTGAAGAGATAATTATGAGTAAATTGTATTATTTTAAATGTTTATCGTATGATTTAGAACGTGTTTTCCGATTGTATGAAGAGATCTATGATATGCAATGATGTGAATCTCTTGTGTTACTCGATGTTATCCTCTAATGAATAGAGTTGATGAGTATGTGATGCGAGACAATTTGATACGGCACAACGACATGATAATGAGACATGATAATATTATATGATAATGAGACATTATAATATGATATGAGAATGCATAGAGTCTTGAATTACATACATCATTTGCATAAATGTTTTAAGGGTACGATATGGAATACACCGCCAGGGAAGGGCCCCTTGTGTAAAAGCTTGGGGATTAGTCCTTGGGGATAACTCGATTTGTAAGTCTCAGTCTTGCCCATTGTGTGCATGGGATGTATCTTGCGCGACTTAGCTATCCTGACTAGACCTTGGTAGTATGTCCTTCTAGTTAGGAATGGCAAACATACCCGTACCCGCAGGTAATACCCAAACCCGTCCTAACTTTGACGGGGAATACCCGATTTGACCGGGTACGAGTACGAGTACGGGTACGGGTACGGGTACGGGTAAAACCCGATATATTAAATCGGGTACGAGTACGGGTACCGGTATGTACTTACCCGCCCCGTACCCGTACCCGTACCCGTCCCCGTTCTCATTTTTAATTTAATACTCACTTTCAATTTAATTATATTAAAAAAATTAATATTTTTTATGTGTAATTATTTATTATAATATAAGATAAAAAAATAACTTAATTATAATTATAATATAATAAAAAAAATAATTTAAAAATATATTTTTTTTACAAAAAATAAAAAATAAAAAAAATTGACGGGTACGGGTACGGGTACGGGTATACCCGATACCCGACGGGGACGGGGATGGGGATGAAAATCCATACCTGACGGGTATGGGGACGGGGACGGGGATGGATTTAACTCGCGGGGACGGGGACGGGTATCATGAAACCCGTACCCGACCCGCCCCGTTGCCATCCCTACTTCTAGTGAGAGTGCGTAGAGGGTGTGACCCGGCATGTACTTCTAGACTACTCTACGTGTGTTGCTAGTGGCAATACACCATGTGATGTGTTACTGGTGTCACATGCATGATAATATGTAGTCCATGTCCATTACATGTGCATTTTTAATGTTATAAGTTAACTTGATTTTTTATGTCTTTGGTGAGTTGGATGTGATATTGTTGTTAATCTATTTATGCTATGTACATATACATGTCTTGTTTTTGTTTGACTATCTGGTGTGTATTCCTACACCATGAGCCAAAGTAAGATGTTTCTCACTCCCTTTTCTTTTGTGTTATTTTTCTTTGATTGTTATATAGGTGATCATCAACATGAGGCTTAGGATGTTGGTGATGAAGCTTAGGCTTCAATGTTGGGCTTTGCTTTGATAGGACATGTGACATCGGGACGTAGATAGGATTAGATTAAGATGTTGTTCTTATTAAATTATTTTGGAAACCTTAGCATTATTTCTTTGTAATTTCCGCTAATTATGTTATTTGTTTAAGTCATGGATGTGGCACTCTCTATCTGAACATGTTTGATATTTTAATTATGAAAGATTATGCTCTTCAAATGTTGTTATCTATGTGTTATGGTATGCGGGGTAGAGGGTGTCACAAAATACATGTGTATTTTTAAATAAGCATTCACAACATTATAGGGAAAAAAATGATTGATGACATGAGGGATACAAGTAAAGAAAGAAATTATACAATTCAATTTTTTTTTTTATTTTTTTAAACATATTTTTCATTGGTTAAATTTATTGTAAATCGCAATTTTTAGTTTTATTTATTTCTTATTTAATTTTTTCTTTAATTTTGAAATTATCAATAAATTTAAATTAATAAAAAAATCAATGATAGTTATTTTGGTAGCAGTGAGAAAAAAAAATTATAACTTCATGAAAATTAGTTGAAAAAACGAAAAGTGAAAC